TTCAAGAAGTTTACTTTCGTATACAAGAACAAACGTAACATTTTAACAAGTAGATCTGTTTTTATACCACGGGTTTGTGAGACACTAACTTCATGTACGTTCGAGTACACATTTCAAGTCCTGTATTATATACCAGAATCCCTTGGAGGGGGAGCATGGTGTTTGTGTATAGATCTATACGGGCTTGACAACCCGCGCCCTGACTGTTAGCTGCAGTCCACCGTTTGGGGTGACAAACGTCATAACATTCCAACGCCTGAAGAACGTTGTGTATAGGCATTTCGAGTCAATAGTATGGTTATAAAACTCACAAGGGGTATTAAAAACGCATTGATTTACAAGGTTTTCAAACTCATTTATTATTTTACCTTTACATACATTTTGGAAACAAACATTGGTCTTGAATGAAGGCTACTTTTATGCTAGTAGAAAATATAGGATTTTCTAAACACATACAAACAAAGATAAAACATTTCATTTCATTTAAACATTGTCATTTAAATACTTATGAAATTCACCAGCTTAAATGCTGATCTACTCTTTCAAAATTACTTGTATGTCCCAGGAAATCAGTAATTTCAGGTATGCATTTCGCTTTTGATGAAGAGATGCTGCGGCGCCAGTTAAATCTCGTATTTTGACATCATATTGTAATTGAGTTTTGAACATGTAACTTTTGACAAATGTAAACTTTCAATTATATATATATGATGGTTGTATTGCTTTCTTTACTATGTATTCATTTGTTACGTTACCACATGAAGTCATCCGCCCCCGAACGTTTCCGCCGTTCAGGTTTGGGGGTGTGACAGTTGTTGATGCTCTTAGTCAGAAGTCAACTAGTGAGCCACTTCGGGAGTTGTGTCTATGAATGACAGTGTTTGCTTCTCCATTGGAGTTGATGGAAAAGTTATATGGAGTGGCATTTTAGGATGATAATGCCAAATACATGAGATTTTCATGCAAGGTTTTGACTTTTGATTAGGACAGTCGGCATTATTTGACATATTATCATCAGGTTCGTGTTCCTACACTAGTGTTAATAAAAAGACATCTACATTAGGGAGGTCCCATTTTATTTTGTCTTTGTTAGGGATATTCGGTTCAAGTCTTGGTTTTGGGAGAGATTTCAAGAGGAAATTGATGATCAGTCGTGATTTAGCACGATCTCCCACCCACAAACAGACGGTCAGCGTAAATGCATGGTTCACACTTTGATGGTAATTAGGATTGTTATCTTCCATTAGCAGATTTTTCCCATGATAACAACTTTCAATCTTTTATTAGCATGCCACCATTCAAACTGTTGTTTGGTAAGAAAAGCATGATACCTTGGTGTTGGGCAAGATTGGTCATCAAGTACTAGGGAGCATGAATATTGTGCTTAAGAAGAATGGTGTGTTTCATTTTGGAGAGCAACTAAAATATGTAGAGAAGCCGATTGCTATCATCAGGAGAAAGATGAATACCTTATACAACAAAGTGATTGGGAGTGTGAGATTCAATGACATTATCAAAAAGGTTCTTAGTATACCAGGAAACCGAAGGCAAAGATGAGAGCACATTATGCAGAACTGTTTGTTAGCTGTGACTTCGAGAATGAAATCTGATTCAAGCGGTGGAGAGTTGTAACATCCTATTTTTTGGTATAGTAATATTTTCATATTTTAATTAGTTAGATTAAATATTTTGTTTTAATAATGAAAAGGATAATTAAATAACCTAAAATTAAATAGAAATGTAGTATAAAGGTTCAAAGGGGCATGTTTAAAACTTAAAATGGTAGACGTCTTGGAACTTAAGGATCATTTGTCTCAAAATTGACAAAATGAAACCCTATTAGGGTTTAAAAATGAGAATGACCTCAATTTCAACATTATTTTCATTCTAGGGGCATCTTCAAACCATAGAATTGCAATCCTTTAAGAGTTGATGCAAAGAGAAAATTTTCGGAATTCTCATTTTTGAAAACCTTACAGTAGTGTTTGGACAATCCTCAAGATTGAACCGTTAGATCTTCACGAAATTTGATGAGTACGGCTTGTATAGAGCTTTCAATCTCAACAACCTAGTTATGATTTCTTCCTCATTGCTTGTAAAAATCCTATAGGGCCGAGGGATGATGTATTACAGACATGGAAGGTCTTAATCGAATTTAGAACTTAATGGGTTGATTGGATTAAACCCTAACCCTAGGTTTATCTTTTTGAAAAATCTACTATTATGTCCTATATTTATAAACATCATAACTGATTCTATAGATGTCGATTTTGGTCAAAAAATTTCGGATTTATTACAGACATGGAAGGTCTTAATCGAATTTAGGACTTAATCAGTGTAAAAAATTCGGATGCGAGTTTCCTTTATGTCATTAATTTTGGTCGAAATCTGGAAACGATTATAACTAAGGTGAAAATGGTCATTTTCAAAGACTGGACCGGAATGAGCTACATTGGTATGTTGTTTTGTAAAATCCATTATAAGTTGTAGAAAAATCATACAGACTTGTGTAAGGAGTCCCTGGAAATGTATTGTTAAGAACTTCATTAATATGGCTTCGTAATTTAGTTTGGATGGGTTTAAGGAATGAAAAATAGGTCTTGAGCAAGCTGTTGTTTCAGGTTAAAATATGGAAATTTAACCTAGTAGTTTAATGATATGTTTAGGGTGAATGGTAGCCATTTTTAATCTTGATTACTATTCTTAGGAGAGTTGAAGAGTGATTAGTGGGTTATGGGCTATAGTTGTAGGTTTACTCTGCTACTTGAGGTGATTTTCCAACTATATCCCATAACCCACGAATCACTCTGTTATAGGATATTTATGCGAGTAACATTAGGTTGGGTAAGTGCCTAGTCGGAGTATGCTATTTGCTCACATAACAAGGAATTCATATGGGAGGGCTTGGTGTACCCGAGCGGGAGATCGGGCGTAGCCAATATGTCCCAAGGGCTCGAAAAATTGAGAAAGGGGAACGCGCATAGCCAATGTGTCCCAATAGGTTTGTGTTTGGGGGATCGAGCATAGCCAGTGTGTTCCAAGGGCTCGAAGAACTAAGCAAGGGGGATCGAGCGTAACCAATGTGTTCTAATAGGTCTGGGTTTGGGGGATCGGGCTTAGCCAATGTCTCCCAAGGGCTTGATCTATTGAGAAATGGGGACCAGGCATAGCCAATGTGTCCCAATATGTGCATGTTGTAACTGATTTGTTCTTTGACATGCATACATGGTTGTGTGGCTAATACTATTGTTATATACATGTTAAGGGTAGAGCTTCTATGATACGATACTATGTATGTGTGAAATTCACTAAGTTTTGTGCTTACCCCTTTCCCCTTTAAATTTACAATTTCAGGATCAACAACTACTCAAGATGGCAAGGTGTGAAAGTACACACTGGCTTGAGACAAATTGTTAGAGATTTTGATATACATTGGTTTATATTTTCTTAAATTTAGGATTTATAACTAATAACAGTTTTTGAAACTAGATTGATCTTGGGTTGTGGTTTTAAAACTTATTTGGAATAAAAGTCATGGTTTTGAATATACTTATACTTTTTTAAATGTTCAAATGTACTGCAAATTTTAGGACATTATAAAATTGTAAACAACATATCAATGGTGACATTTTTGTCAATAGGCCAAAATATATGTATATTGTTTCGATACATAATGATTTGTAACCTCAAGTCTTATCTATTTTAAGACTAAGAGGGTGTTTGAGACTTTATTTGAACTTCAAAAGGACTTGTTGACTTATCATGGTGAACAAATGAGTTTTTAAAAAAAATGTTCGGATTAGCTTTTGGGTAGGAAAAATCAATAAGTTGTTTTTTTTTTTTAAGTATTATCTTAACTTATACATGTTTTCATATTACCAAATTTATTATTATTATTTTACTTATTGTCTTTTCAAAAAGCTAATAAATCAATAATTATTTATAAATGAAATCTCAAACACCTCTAAGTTATAATATATTTTTACTGAAATAACCATTTCATAACAATATATTTTTATAAATCAGTTTTTTATTTTACTAAATAAAGATATAATTAAAAAACTATATTTATTTATTATCGTATATTAAGAATCAAATAAATTATAATGGTTGTTTCTAAAAAAATAGATTATAAGTTGTTTGAGATTTCATTTAAAAACAATTTATTGATTTATAAGCTTTCTGAAAAGTCAATAAGTTAAAAAAAAGTGTTTGGTAATATGAAAAAATATATAAGTTAAGACAAAAACTAAAAAAAAAAAACTTAATGAATTATTGAAACCTGTTATTGTTTGCGATAATCTGAAAATTAAGCTCAATTATAAGTAATAGTCAGTTTCAATGCTTTAATTACAAAAATAAATAATAATAAGAATGACTTTTTGTCAAAAAAAAAACCCAAGATATATGGAGTTTTATGCATATTTCTCTATAAATAATCAATACATTAAGATAATTATAGTTGTAACAATGTGAGAACATAGTTTTCGTGTTTTGATAATCGAATCAGTTAACCCACCTACAAAATCACATACAAATCAAAGTTAAAAGGGTCCAAGTTAAAATTATAAATTTTATATAATCCATATAAAAATTATAATTTGGTTCTTCTATAGAAAGCACTTGGTAGGATTCCAATTTGAAGGCACTAAATGAACCTCCCAAATTTAAATTAGTGAAATATCAGTTCAAAACTAAACCTGTGTCACTTGTTTTCATGTTGAAACCAACAATGGAAACAACCATTGGTTGAAAGTGAATGTAATCGACTACTTAGCAATTATTGTTCATACAAAATTTTCAATATAATATGTGCATATTAAAGAAGACACATTTAATTACAATCTTTTTTAGACATAAGGGAAGTATGGCCATCTACTCATACTTTAGGGGATATATTATATGGATCTTTGCTTCACTCGAAAGAAGTACAACACAACATGTGATATGTTTTCAAGAACTGATGGTTCCATTTCCATGTAATTTGGCCGGGTACCGACCTATGTTGACCCTTGTAATGCTGCAAAGTCTTTTTTTTTTTTTTTTTTTGCTTTCTTAGAAGCCTACATATAAAATTCCAACATCAAAAGACATGTCAAGGTGATAATTTAAAGGGTTGTATGAAAGAAACTACTTTGTTTTTGTTTAATATATCAAGAAATTTGTGAAAGCTTTTTACCTTTTAAGATGTGATTGCAACAAAAAGTAACCTTAGTAAATGAGAACTCATTTCATCAAAAACCTTGTCTTAATACATGGGTGATTTAGGTAAATCTGAAAAAGTTTGGTTATTAGCCACATTCCAATATTCCAAAAGGTCATTTTTATAAATACCTTTTCTATTAATTTATATAACACAAAATGGATATTTTATGTCGGCTTACGTAATGAAATCAATTTGTTATAGCTGAATATATGGGTAGTTTGAGAAGATATTGGTAACAAATTGACATATCACTACATGCACCTTAACAAGCTTCCATAGCGAAGCACCTGTTGCATCCCAACATGGACTGAATAGTGGCTTCCATTGGGGTTTTTCATTGCCAGGTGGCCTTAAAAGCTTCTTGCTCGCTATTACATGCACATGATTTACGATTCAGGATTAAAAATATCATGTTTAATTTACAAATTGGTAGAGATAATTAGTCTTAGTTGTAGTACTATCTCCTTAAGCTTTGAAAGTAGCTACTCATCTACTCTATACATACATCAAATTTTTTAGAATAAATAATAGAACATGTTCTTGCAATACAGTATTCCATGGTAACAATTAAAAGAGGGACCACAAAATTTCAATTGCAATGGGTGCATGCAAAGCGGGGTTGTGTGCCCCTTCAATCTGTATGCCTGTAAACTGACAAAAAATGACCACATTATCTTTAAATCAGTCAACATCAAATTAATTCAATAGAAGCTCATATAACTAAAAAAAAAAAAAGCCTTTTGTAATTCTGACTATAACTATTTTAGAAAAAAAAAAAATTCAAAGTTATAGAGTAACAACAGAAACAAATTTAGTCCATAAAAAAATCATATTAAATAAAATAGAAAAATAAGATTACGATGCTTAAGTTAGACAACATACGCTAAAAAGTTGTTATCGAACACCTAAACCGCCTTTATTTTGGACGATTTGGCTCTAGATAATTATGTACTGCAAGGTCCGAACATGTCAAAAATGAATTGGCTGAAATGATTGATTTGACATACCTACAAAAGCACCACAAATTAGTGATATAAAGTATCTACAGAAGAAGAATACAACATTTTAAGTCGCTTTAGACACCTGATTTGTGGTGGGAATGGACCAATGAACTTATTGTTGTGAAGATCCTTGAAAACAAAAAGTAAGTAGGAGAGGGACCTCTTGCAAAGGAGTGGCATCAGGTTGAAAGCTTGAAAAAAATATGGATCTTTCTTTAGCATAGTTGAATACAATCTGCACAAAAATAGAAAAAGAATAAATCATGGTAACATGGAAACTGTTAAAGAAAGACGAAATGAGAAGGGCATACACCAAGAAAAACTTGTATGGCATGAACCAAATCATCTTCTTGGTACACTACATTATCATCAAAATTAAACTCAATACTGAATCCCATGGAATGATTTACATTATGAAATACCTCTTCCAATGTGCAAAGATGATCATCTTTCTCAACTTTCCACTCGAAAATCCTCCTATCTTTCGTTTTCCTAAACAAATGATCACCCACATGATATCATCAAGATTACACCAATTAAAATAATGAAATAGCTTCAAATATGGAAAAAAAAAAAAAAAAAAAAAAAAAAACAGAGATCTTATGAGGCTCCCTTTGAGGTCCACATGAAACGAATTCATTGAAATTCAAATTTGTCACTCTTTTCTCAATTATAACACCCTGAAATTAAGATTCAAGAGAAACTTACTGTTGGAAACTATCTTGCACTTAATAAACAACAAATTTGATGTTATAACATTTTCCAGCACCAAAATAATCTAAAACTGAATTTTTTTAAACAAAACTTGATGTGAAAAATAAGTTTCGGTGTGACGTTCAGAAAATTGGGAATATAAATAAAATGCCAAATTAATGTTACATTTTGTGGACCCAATCATTCCGACATTACAAAAACTAACATTTTTAAGGCCTTTAGCCCAAAGCCAAACGTATGGTAATGGAGTATCGAAGCACGAACAAACTTAACCCACAAGAAACCGAAAACAGATCTAATCATCTAATCAAATCGGCGATGTCAAAGGCTTACTGTTATCGATGAGAGGTTACCAGAGTTTCAATAAACCTGAATCCATCAAACATTGGTGCAAATTTCTCCGACCAACAACTCTTCAACTCCGGTGACAAATCTTCATTATAATTGCTCGATGGTCCATGATCCTGTAAAAAGTGCACAACAGATTGAAGGAATTTTATATGGAATAAGGAGAAAACGGAAGAAGAAGTATCAAAAATTTGAGATAGTTTTCGTAATGATTTACCTGATAAGGTTTGGTTTTTGTGATTAGATAGGTTGGGGAAACCATCGTGGAGAACGGATATGGCGGCGTCACCAAATCCATTGAAGACATTGAAGTGACCGTAGTAGAAGGAGCAAAATTAGTGCAATCAAAAAACAACAATCGAGACGATCGATGTAGATGAAACGGAGAATTTTGACTGAAACGTAATTGACTCCAAGAAGAACTGAGCCAAAATCGGTGGTGGTTAACTGTCGCCTCCACATCGGCACCTCCACATGACCGATTCTGACGGCATCACCAAATCCATCGCAGCCATTCAAGGCAGCCTAGTAGAAGGAGCAAAATCAATGGGTGGGTGGTTTTAGGGCTTCTAGATGATTCTAGAAGAAAAGATTGGATAAGAACGAAGAAATGGAAGGAACGACTAACCTACAACTGTTGGGATAAAATGATCGGAAACCGGAACTTTCCTACCACGTGTCCACAAACAATATGAATATTAACATAAAGTGACCTTAAAGCGGAATTGAACAAACAAATATAAACAAACGAGCATTTGTGCCAACCCTTTAGTTTATTGTTCCTAACAATGCACAACTTTAATATATATATATATATATATATATATATATATATATATATATATATATATATATATATATTAAATTGTAATGCAATAGTTGATTATAATTTACTTTAGTTCAAATATCTTACGATAAACAATTAGGTAGAGATTCCGTTAAAACCACTTCGTCTCTACTGTTTGAAACTTTTGCAGCCACCCATACAGTGGCGGATCCCTTTGGGGGCCGGGAGGGGCCATGTCCTCCCCGGTTTTTTGTCTGCTTTTTATCAAATGCTTAGCCAAAATATATATGTTTTAGTTTATATCAAAAATGAAGGAGGAATGCAGACATTAAATAAAGAAATTTAGAAGATACTTAAAGTCTTCTAAATCAAAACAAACCCCGTAGAAATTTGGAATGGAAATCGAATCCCAACAAATCTTAATCATCTTGTTATTTTGAAACTGTATCGTATCATCAATATAACACATTTAGTTCTTTTGAGAAACAAATCTCAAGAAAGTTCAAAAACAAAGAAAATAAGTTAGGTTCGTTGCCGGAAACCGTTGTTTCTGACCTCTTAGAAGAAATGTCGGTCGAGCGTCGCTACCGGAAATGACTGCTATCCGTCGTCTTAGAAGCCATGTCGACCTTTGTTGAATGTTATCTCCATCGTCTCCAGGTATCTGTGGCATTTACTCTCATACAACCTTCGTTCTTACCTTTTATTTCTATGGTCTCCGCTCTTAAATTGATCATTTTTCTTATTGTGATTTTTATCTATAAGAAAATCTGATTTTTTACTATATTTTATCTACAATCATAGCCCCTACATAATATCACTGATAAAGGTAACTAATAGAGGTACGTGTGCTGTCAAAATTTTGAAAGAAAGATGATGCTCCGCTGTCAAAATAAATAAATAAATAAATAAATAAAATAAAATAAAATAAAAACTTTTGATATTTTATGTATTTTTTTAAAGAGAATTTGTTTGATAACTCTTTTATTTTTTATTTTTTATGATTTCATTATTTTATAAACATAAATTAATTGTATTTCTTGGTCACTGTAATATAATTCATATTTATATCTTTCACTTTTCCAATATCTAATTATATACATTATTTATAAAAAAAATCCTTTTGCAAGTTCTAATTAGTCTTTCATAACGACTTAATATATTTTTATTTGGTTCTATTATAAAGTTTTATTTCGGCCCCTCTAATTTTAATGTGTGTGTTCCGCCCCTGCACCCATAGGCCAATCTTTCTTCAGTTTACACTCTAGAAAGCTTTTCAAGTCAGAGCTACAAGTCATTATATCTAAATTAAAAAGAATGTAAACAGACTTCTTTTAACGTTTAAGTCAAGCGTACAAAGATAAATATTTAAAACCTACCATTTGTCTTGTTATAGTATATTAAATAGAAAGCATGCAAATGTGAAAATTATTAAATTACATGAAGTATGACGAAGTGTCTAGCTTTTAATCCGCGTGTTTCTTTTATTGGTTTCCAAGCATCATAGAATTTAACAATTATTATGTTGGCTCCCGTGCTTTTTATTAAATGCGTAAATCATTAGGTAAAAGAGAAAATTAACCAAAGAGTCTTTAGTGGGAAATTACCCCAGATGTGTCGATGGTGGCGGTTACTGGGAAATTACCCCAGTAATTGTAAGTAATTGTATGGATTTGCTAAAATGTAAAGAGTTTTTAGTGGGTCATAAGAGACTGGAAAGGATTCATGAGGTTATAATGCTGGTATTTTTATGGGTAATTTGGAGATACAGGAACAACAAAGCTCACAGCTCAAACCAAAACACTGGCTCAAAATCGACTCTGCCTTTCGAGGTACAATCATTATCGTATCTTTGGATCAATGCGAGGAATCGGAAGGGAAGGAAGCTTAGGTGGCTCGAGTGGTGTTGCGACCCAATTTTGGAATGCTATGGCATGATGTAGCCTAAATTCTCTTATTTATTGTTCCAGTTCTTTTTCCTCTTCTTTGTTTGTTTTTTTTTTTTTCTGATTTTATGTTTACTGAGACTAATTGTATCTCCTAGCTCCTCGCTAGAGTTATATTTTATTTAATGCTTGCCGTTCTATAAAAAGAAAATTAATCAAAGAAATGAAATTAACAATAAGGATAAAAAGACTGGATGTAGTAATAATTAACCAAAGAAATGAAATTAACAATAAGGATAAAAAGACTAGATGTAGTAATAAATAACAAACCTTGTAAGAAAAGAAACCAAAACTTTTAACGGTAATACATCTATTGGTATTCTCTATAAAGAAATCAAATTATGCATACACATAGGTAAAGAGATATTACAAGGAAACCTTTAGAGTGTACTGACCATGACATATCATTAATTATATATAAATTAAAAAATAAACATGATTTAATCAATTTGTTTCAAAAAATATCATTAAGTATATATAAATTACAAACTTTTGAATGGTTGTTATTAATTATGTGGAAAATGAAAAGTTTTGGAGGTTTCAAATGCATAGTGCAAGAAAAAATATCTCGTTTATAAATATACTAAGCAAATATCCGCGCGTTGCGCGAAATAAAATTATATAGTCAACCTTTTAGTAATAATATGTCATTGGAAATGTTTTTGTCGTTTATATTAACTAATAAATAATTATTATTGTAGATTTTGATAATGCAGAATGGAACGTATTTTCTTATTATCACCAAGCCAATAAAACAGTTCTTAAAATACAATCCAGAAAGCTAAAACTAAACAATGCTTAATCAAAGGAAACCATAAAAGATAATAAAGGATAAATATGAAAAAACTGATTAATAAGATAATGACTATCGGCTAAGAAATATCCGTTCCAACATTGCCCCTCAAGTTGGAGCGTGTAAATCTTGCATGCCCAACTTGACAAGTAGGTTTCGAAGTTGCTGAGCTCCTAATGGTTTGGTAAGAAGATCGACTATTTTACCCGTGGTATCAATGTGCATGGGACATATTTCATCCGACTCAACTCGCTCTCGGATGAAATAACAATCCATTTCTACATGTTTCATTCTTTCATGAAAAACTGGATTGTTAGCAATGTGTTTGGCAGCTAAGTTGTCACAAAATAGAGTAGTTCCTTCCGTAGGTGCTTCGGAAAGTTCCTTAAGCAATGATCAAACCCACAATATTTCGCTGACTGTGCTAGCCATTGCCCTGTACTCCGCTTCAGCCGATGAACGGGAAACAACTGATTGTTTCTACATGTTTCATTCTTTCAGGCCTCCTTGGCGGGGTATCAAAATACCTTGACCCAGGGTGGCTTTTAAATATCTTAAGACACGAGTAACCGCATTCATATGATTTTGTCTAGGGTCGGAGACATATTGACTTAACACGTTAACAGAGTAAGAAATATCTGTGCGTGTGGCTTGCAAATATAACAATCGCCCAACCAATCACCTGTATTTACCAACATCAACCTTTTCTTCTTCCTCATTCTTATCGAGTTTTAGATTTTGTTCCATGGGAAAACCACTTGGACGACACCCTTGCAAGCCACTGTCCTCTAAAATGTCCAAAGTATATTTTCGCTGACTAAGGACTAAACCCTCCTTCGTACGAGCCACTTCGATTCCCAAAAAATACTTCAAGGTGTCGAGGTCTTTAATGCTAAATCTATGGTGGAGTTGAGACTTGGTGTATTGAATCATGTCCATATCATTGCCAACAATGATCACATCGTCAACATAAATCAAAGCTGCTACAAAAACTGCATTTTTGTTGTATATAAACAACGAATAATCTGCCCTGGATTGAGTGAAACCAAGGTCCAACAGAGATTGGGTGAACTTATGATACCAATTACGCGACGCTTGTTTGAGGCCTTATAGTGACTTCTTGAGGTGACAAACACGTGTATCATTTTCTTTTGAGAACCCTTGTGGAAGCTTCATGTACACTTCTTCGTTGAGATCACCATGTAAGAACGCATTGTTGACGTCTAACTAGTGTATAATCCAGTCCTTCTTCACAACTAAAGTAAGAAGAGTGCGCATCATTACTAATTTTGCAACAGGCGCGAAAGTGTCGTGATAGTCCACTCCTTCCATTTTGTGTGAAGCCCTTTGTTACGAGCTTGGATTTGTAGCATTCGATCTCCCCATTTGGTTTATACTTGATCTTGTACACCCATTTAGAATCTATTGCTTTCTTTCCTTCGTGTAAAGGTCCCAAGGACCACATTTGATTTTCTTCAAGCGCCTTGATTTCACGTTTCATGGCATTTCGCTAGTTTTCATTTTGTGATGCCTGAAAGAAAGTTTTAGGCTCATCATGCGACGTGATGGCCGCTAAAAATCTTTTGTGTTTGTTAGAAAACTTTTCATAAGTCACATAATGAGCAAGAGGGTGTACCTTGGAGGAAGCTTGATTGGAACTTGGGTGTGCATGATCGACAGATGGTGGGATGTTAACTTCGTAATCCTTGAACCGTGAGGGTTGAGTCTTGGCCCGTTGAGAAGTATGGCTTGAATTGTTCAGATATTGCGGGTCACCATTATTATGTGACAGATCGTTATTGGCATCGTCAGCTTGTGTCATATCTTCTGGTGGGTTATTGGGCTCATTACTTTGCATGGGTGAATCCATGTCGCCAACCTCTTCTCTTACAATGGATGCGCTGGGATTTTCCTTATGGTATAAATCAATTTCCATGTCGAGTCTAGGTCGATCAGTTGGTTGAGACTCACCAACGATTTCATTCTCTACCTGGTTTACATTCTCTTTGTGGCTGGATAACGGGAAGACGTTTTCCAAAAACTTGACATCACGACTTACGACAATTTTTCATTTTTCTAAATCATAGACTTTGTAACCCTTTGTGCCGAAAGGGTATCCCAAAAACACCCCCGCCTTTCCTCATGGAGCAAATTTATCTCCCTTTGTTTCGGTGTTCCAGAAGTAAGTCAGACAGCCCAATACACGCATGTGCTCATAAGGAGGTTCTTTTCCATATATTATCTCATATGGCGTTTTGTATTTAATTACCTTGGAAGGTAATCTGTTGATGATATAGGCAGCCGACAAAACACATTCCCCCCAAAACCTTATGGGTAACTTCCTTTCAAATCTCAAGGCACGAGCTACTTCCAAGAGGTGCCTGTGCTTTCTTTCCACAACCCCGTTTTGTTGAGGGGTATGTGGACAGGTTGTTTCGAGCTCGATGCCATGATTAGCATAGAAGCTTTTCATGTGATTGGATGTGAACTCTCCTCTATTGTCACATCTGATTCGTTTAATGTTCTTCTGGAATTGTGTTTGGATGAGATTGTAAAAACTGATCAAATAATCACTTGCCTCGTATTTGTGCCTGATTATGTAAACCCAAACAGCCCTACCATAATCATCAACTATAGCGAGGAAATAACTTCCATGTGTAAGTGAAAATGTTCTATAACCAACCCAAATATCACAATGAATCATCTCAAAACAATCATTCGTTTTTATTGTACTTGTAGGAAAAAGGAGTCTAGTTAATTTAGCTCTCAGACACGAATCACAAAAAAACTTCTTTAGAGTTACTACTAAAGTCCTTACATAAAGAAATATGAGATAATTTTTTATTTGATGGGTGATCAAGTCTTTTATGCCATTGATTTGTGGTGGTGACTGCCATAGCTCGCCGACCTTCTTGCATGATCCCCATTTTGTAG